ATACTATATCTGGGCCGGGGATTTAGCTCAGTGGTTTCGCCGCCTGCTGCGCAAGCGCAAGGACCCGAGTTCGATCCCCAGTACCAAAAAATAAAAATAAAAAACATATATACTATACCTTTTAACTCTATCTCATATGCCTTTTATGCTCATTTCTGTATTAAATTATATTCTTTTTTGACTATGTTTCAGGCTATATTTTGCTAACCTGTCTTTCAGTTCAATAATTTAACCTTCTAATCTATAGTTTAAACTCAACTTCAATATAAAATTTATACATTTTAGATTTAGATCTTCATTTGACTGTTTTGATTTCATTTTTCTCTAAAGCATTATCTTTACAAATATAACAATCACAGTTATTAAAAGTATTTATCTTAAAATTTTAATATTTTAACCATTTGTGAGTCTCTTATCTATTTCTTCTTAAATCCTAGTTTGATCACTTGGTCCTTTGTCTTAGTGCACCTATTCATTGTTTATTGCATGTGAGGCATTGTAGATGAAAAAACTCTGGGGATAATTTGAGAGGGTTTATTTTGCTCCTGATAGAATAGAGCAGACCACCTTAACCTAGTCTGGAATGAGCTGACTTGAAGGTCATGTTCAGTTTTCTGATCTAGTTGTTATTTGTTTACATTTCTAGGCTGTGGCCCCTTAGGGGTTCCCGCTGAAAACCTAGGAAAGTAGTTGTGAAATTTTAGCAAGCGTCTGATTCACCAGAAAGTCTTGGTAAAACACAAATTCTGGACCCTGTTCCCAAGGTTTCTAATTCAGCTAGTTTTGAGACCACCCAAGAAAATGAATGTTTAACAGGGTCCCAGGTAACCATACTTTGAAAACCACTGGTCTTGGGCAGTTTTCCAGTGGCATTACTTTTTAGTACGCCATGGATTCCAATATTTGTTCCCCTGCCCATGAGACTGCTAAAAGCTCTGCTCAGCCTATCAGTGGCCCTCAGCTAGGCTTTTTATATTCTCAGTTTGGAACTATGTAAAAAGCAACCAAGTCTTCAAAGTGAAAAGCAGAGAAGAATGTTAGGCTCTAAAATCTTGTCCATTTAGCCAGAAATAGTAGCCCATGCCTGTAATCCCAGCACTTGGGAGGCTGAGGCAAGAAGGATCACTGTGAGTTCAAGGCCAGCCTGAGCTACATAGTGAGTTTAAGGCCAGCCTGAACTGCGTAGCAAGATCCTGTCTCAAAAAGAAAGACAAAACCATGTTGTCCATTTGAATCCTTTTCTGTTTCAATAATTCTTTAACATCTTCAAATTGATTATTTTAATCCCGCCTTTAAAATTTTTGTCAATGTGAAGGTAGATTTGGTCCAAGCTAGTCTACCATAGCTAGAAGTGATACATACAAATAATACAAATTTGGTATCTCTGAGGTGTGATAAAAAATACAGTGAATAAAAAATTTTATTTTAAAAAATTTACAATAAAATACAAATTGCCATTAACCTCTCTCAAAATACTCAGCTTCACTTCCAACACAGCCCATCATTCTTGTCATGTTTTGAAGCTGTTCTGGAAATCCTCTTTTCTGAGCATTTTCAGTTGTGCTGTTGTCACTGCCAGGATGACCTGAACTGATTCAAAACATTTAACTTTCATGGTCATTTTGACTTTGGGGAAGAGCTAGAAGTTGCACAATGCCAGATCCAGTAAATATACAACTCTTTCCATTGAATGGCATTCGGCAGCAGTATTTACCATATGTTTTATCATATCCCCTAAAGACAGGAAGGACAACTTCCAGAACTGCTTCAAAAAGTGGCAAGGATGGTGAGAAAAATATTTTTGAAGAAAGAGGAAGTATTTTGAGAGGGATTAATGGCAATGTGACTTTAAGTAATAAATTTTAAAAATTTAAACATTCACTGTATAGTTCATTCATATATTGTACATAATAAAAAAGTTCCACTAAATAAATAATTCCCAAATGTTGCATGAAAATTACTTTAATCACTTATTTCTAGCTCTACCCAGGGCCCCTGGATACGAATTCCTTGGAAAATCTCTAAGTATTAGTCTACTTTCTCACTGTGACACAATACCTGATACCCACAATTTAAAGAAGAGGAGGGTTAATGTGACTTGCAGTTTCTGAAGATTCAGCTCACCATCAACTGGCTCCAAGGCAGAAATATCCTAGTGGAAGGACCTGACAGCAAAGAAGCTAGTTTATGGTAGTGGTTGGAAAGCAGAGAGGCAAACAGTGCTGGCAAGGAAGGGGTGAGAGTCCAGACTTAGACCCCAAGGCCACACCTCCAGGACCCACCAAGACAAACCCAGAAGGGTTTTCCACCAAACCCAGATTGGATCCCAAAGCCAATCAAGATGACTCACCATCTTAACCACCATAAACATCTTAGTTTTAACAAGCCTCTATTATGTTTCTGATGCGTACTCATCTTTTAGAACTAAGACCCTAACCAACCAGAATTTGAAAGTAAGACCATCTCTCTTATGCTTGAAAATAACATACACACTTTTAAGTTATTGCCCAGTCTTTGTTATTCTTACAGGTGCCTACACAGTTTCTAACAATCAAGTTAATACAGCTTTGAAAGTATAAGATTGTACACTGGCTGAATGACTAACAAAATGTGTGTGTTCTTATAAAAATGAACATATCCCAGGACACCTTTTGCATCTCCAAGCAAACCATTCTGATTTCTCTACCATTTTTTAAATTTTCTTTTATTGATACATTTTAGGTGTACAATATAATGACATTCATCATTGGAAATTTGCCCCTTTACATAGTCTCTCTTGGTTCTTATTGTGCCCCCTTTCGCTGCCCTCCCTTCAACCCCTCCATCCCTCCCTATTTAAAGAGACTTTGTTTCCATTTTTTCATTTTCTCATATTAATTCCATTCCCTTCTTTCTTTTCCCCTATCCCTCTCACTTCCCCTTCCCCTTGGCCCCTTTTTTTCCTGTTTTACTCTACCATTTTTGAGATTGAAGACCATGAAATATTTTCTGGGCACCCTGTGAGTTTTTCCAAGATGTATGGCATTGATTTTCCAGTTATAAAAACATTAACCTATCTCTGATTCAGAAGTGGATTTTAATTCAGGGCACTCATGAATGATACAGAGTCCCAGAAATAGGCCAGAAGGTTCTGTAATAGAGTACCAGAAACAAGATTTTAAAAAATCTGTGTATCACAACTATTAACATTCCTTTATTTTTCAGACAGCACCAGTTGCCCTTGAAGCAGAAAACAGAGGTGAAATGAAGCTAGCTCTCCAGTATGTTCCAGAGCCAATTCCTGGTATGTAATGATTTTCTATTCATATCCATGTTCTTTCCTTCTCCCTCTTCTCTCCAAAGATTTTCAGAGTAGAACCACCAGTACTGCTTCTGCAAATATTCTTATTTTTTTTAGTCCAATGCTCACTTCAGCAGCACATATACTCATTTTTTTTTTTAGTCCAATATACAGACCTTCTTTTAACTTTCTCATTCTCCAATATGTATACATCTAATGTAAATGGCCCTTTCTGTACTCATGAGTTGGGTCTCTTGATAATGCTGTGATAAGAATGGAACTTGAGTGATCTCTTTCACAGGTGGGAATTGGAAGAATTAAAAGAAAGTCCTTAAGAAATTAGATATCGGGCCGGGGATTTAGCTCAGTGGTTTCACCACCTGCTGCACAAGCACAAGGACAAGGGCCCGAGTTCAAT